CCCCAAAACCCCAAAACCCCAAAACCCCAAAACCCCGTGATTGGGAGTGTTGGTGGAGGTTAGATAAGTTTCTTAATTAAAGATGAGGATTAGAAGTATACTTAAGAAGATATCGTCAATAAAAAAGTCCAAGAAAGAGCATACCTTTACTGTAAAGACAGATACAGCTTGTATAAGCGCATTTGAAAGCTGGACAATGATCTTTGTATTTATCTTAATGGGATTTTATGGAGTTTTGCTGATCGCTAAGCTTGTAGGCAAACAAGAAATGCAGATTAATCAAAATGTTATTAGGACTAATCCCAAAACAAGCACTAAAGCCACGAATATTACAAGAGAAGATGGAATTGAGCTACAGATCACCCTCACTGCACATGGCTATAGTAGTCAGGAGTTTACCTTTGAAGAACATATGGAGATATTCAGCTTTGAGATATATAGCGGTAAATGGGGAACTAACCAAGACGGTCAAGTTTATTCCATTGGAGAGCTCCTTCAAACCTCAACTTGAAGCGAAGATTTACAGGAGACCAACTGGGAAAATAAGAAGAAGTCATGGTGAATAGATTTGACAGACAGCCAACTTGAAGGATCCATTGGGGTAGAGACAAATACCTCAGCTATTTATGGAGATATTTTAGTTTGCGAAGATGAAGAGAGCAGGGTATGAAAATAACAGGACTCTTATTTCTCATGCCGTTTTGGATACTGAGGTCCAAATAAAAATAAAGAGTAAATTTATAGATCTCAGTGATATTAATGATCCAATTAAAACATACGTTGATGTAATAGATATCACTAGTTTACATCCAGAAAGCTTCCACCGCACAGATGTATTTATTGACAGAAATGAAATCACTCTTGATGACAGTATTTTTAAACCATTTTCGAGCCCAATAAAGAGAAAGTTGAATAAAGTATGAGAAAATGGGAGCATCTCAAAAAGCCAGACTCTAAAGATTGGACAGGGCTGGATTGTTTCAAAAGCTTATAAACTTGCTATCAGCCTTGGGAAGAATATTTATCAATATGAGAGAAGATTATTTTCCATTCTAGAACTAACTAGTTTACTGGGAGGAGTGTATGAGCTTTTAGAAATTTCTATTGGATTGGTTTTTTCCATTCTGTATTCATTTTCTTCAAGGAAGTCCCTGATTAATAGTATCAAGAAGAACCTTATCGAAATTGAGAATATGAAGGAAGAGATCAATATAATTAAAAAGAAAGCAGCCCAAAATGCACAACCCCCTCAAATAAATGTAAATTCTCAAGATGATGTCCAAGTACATAATGTCAATATGCCAAGGGAAGAAGAAAAAATCTCTCATAATCAGAAAGTTTATAAAGAAAATATAAGGAAAAGTAGTGTAAAACCACATAAAGAATCTCAAGTTGCAAATAAACATGAATCTCAAATTCGTGAAGAAAAGCTTATATTCAGCCAATTTCGTAAAAATACCTAAGATTTCTGAAAAACATCTGCTCGAAGACTTCGATACCCAAAAAGACTGCCTCTCCATCCTAAAAAGAATCAAAGCCCTCGAACTAAAAGTCACCTATCTGCTCCAGAACGACCCTTGCTATCCCTCCGACCCTCCAGACCCCCCCTCAAAACCTCTCACAAATCCCGCCCTAAACGCCTCCTGCTCCAGACTCCTCCAAGCCAGCTCCCTTCCTCCTCTTCCTTCCAGTCTTCCTCTCCCAGTCACTCAAAACCAGGCACCACAGCTACTGCCAAGGATGAACCCTCTCTTCACAAGCCTTCGGGCTCAGAACTACAGGTACCAAAACTCAGATTATTTGTAACCTTCAGCTTTGAGTCAGTGTGCTGGGGTTTTGGGGTTTTGGGGTTTTGGGGTTTTGGGGTTTTGGGG